GGACACTTCCAGGGATCCAGGGGCAGCCACAGCTTCTCTGGGCAACCTGGGCCAGGGCCTCACCATCCTCACAGGGAAGGATTCCTTCCCAATATCCCATCTATCCCTGCCCTCTGGCAGTGGGAAGCCATTCCCCCTTGTCCCAGGTCCCTCCAGGCCCTTGTCCCCAGTCCCTCTCCAGCTCTCCTGGAGCCCCTTTAGGCACTGGAAGAGGCTTCAAGGTCCACATAAACTGAGCCCAACTATTTCTTGTGTTCCCAGAGCAGCAGCTGATCCCAATGAGATCCAGGACATTTTCCTGGGTCATTTTTTTAACACCAGCTTTACTTTCAGCCCTGGGAGAACTGAAAGAAGTCAGTTAAGGTTTCCTGTGCAGTGGAGGCAGGAGAGATGGTTCCACCTCTTCCAGACCACTCAGGATTTGATGACTATTCCAAAGCATGTGAATTAAAGAACCACCAGTAGCACAGGCAGCACAAACTGATCCTTCCAGTCACAGCAGCCTCAGAGTTTGGCTGCTCTGGAACTCCCTGCCCTGTCTCAGCACTGACCCATCTCTACATCCTCCTTCACCTTTGTTAGCTGTGCTGCAGCCCAGCCACAGCACATCCATGGAGCTCTGAGACCAGAGAAGCACACAGGGAACTCAGGGAATTGCTACTGGGGGTCAGAGAGGCAGGGTTTTCCTAAAGCAGGAGCTGAAGAGCTGCTTACAGCAGCTCCCAGGCAGGCAAAGAGCCCCCTCAGCTCTCGGAGGTTCCCTTCATGGCCATCCTGCGTTATCCCAAACCTTCCATAGCAGTGGGAAAGGAGGGGAACCCACACAGGCAGTGGAAGAGCTGAGTACTCGAGTTAGAAGCTTCTCAGCTGCCTGCTCCCCTGCCCAGGCCCCCGTTGGACACCATTCCCAAGGGCTGCCACAGGAGCAGTCCCAGCTCCCCCGAGGCCGCACGTTCCCGCTCCCCACCCACCTCCTCGTTGCTGGTGTACTCCACGATCTCGGTGCACAGGTTGCTGCACTTGATGGTGCCCAGGTTCTGCTGGTTGCTCTTCCTGTTGCAGGAGTCCTTGTAGAGCATGTAGGGGGTGCCAGTCTCTGTCTGGGACTCGATGATGGCGTACCAGAGCTGCTGGGCCTTCACCACCCTGCGCACGCGGCCCTGCCGCTCGTAGCTGCAACGGGCACGCGGTGCCGTCAGCCCCGGGCTCCCACGGGCAGGGACAGAGCCCTGCCCCACACAGCAGGTTCTCAGGCAGCCAGGAGCCCCCTCACTGCTGAGCTCTGAGCTCTGAACGAGCACAGCAGGGCAGCAACACTGCTCTCGTTTAAGGGAAGCAAATCTTTCGCTGCAACACCCACACAGCAAGTTCCAAGCAAAGCCACTGGGAGCTCCAGGTGGGGATCACTGCAGGACTTCCCTCTCACCAGCTGAAGTGACCATTCACACACAGCCCCACCTTGAGCAGGTCCCAGTGTGAAGGAAACACCCCCCTTCTTCACCCTTTTATCAGCATGATAATGACCCCCCTGCCCACAATGCTGTGCCTTGCCCAAGATCCCACGGGCAGCTCTGTGAGAGATGACACAACTTACAGGTCTGTTCACTCTCTTACCTCTCATACAGTTTCTCAAATTCCTCTCCCCAGACATCATCCAGGCCAGGACACTCATTTGGGCACATCAAGGACCAGTCCTGTAAGAAGGAAAAATATTCAGAGGAAATCTTCATGGACCCTTTTAATTAAAGCTGCAGCTGCCCCATCCCTGGAAGTGTCCAAGGCCAGGTTGGACGGGGCTTGGAGCAACCTGGGCTGGTGGAAGGTGTCCCTGCCCATGGCAGGGTGGCACTGGGTGAGTTTTAAGGTCCCTCCCAACCCAAACCAGTCTGGGATTCTGTGTGAAACACAAGCAGACACAGAACAGTTTACTGAGGAAGTGTTGATGCTTTAAGGAAACTCCACAGTAAAAATTTAGTCAACAGTCTGAGTATGTAAGTCAGGGGCTGAAAGATTAAGCCCTGAAGTGAAGTATCCCACTGGAGCTGTCCAGCTCCATCCTCTACCTGCACAGCCAACTTCTCAAATGAGGGGCAGCAGCTCTCTCAGGAAATTCCTGAGCTCCCCCCAGGGCTGCTCTGTGTCCCTCCATCAACAGACCTACTCTGTGCCAATCAGGCTTCTCACCTGGTTGGTTTCCACCCGTTTCATGAAGAGATCAGGGATCCAGAGGGCAAAGAAAAGATCTCTGGCTCTCTGCTCTTCTTTCCCAGTGTTCTTCTTCAGGTCCAGAAACTCAAAGATGTCCAGGTGCCACGGCTCCAGGTAGATGGCAAAAGCCCCAGGTCTCTGGTACATGGAACACAGCCAAGGTCAGAACAAACTGTCCTAGGAAAGAAAACCTCCTGCTCTGCTCCCGAGTGCACACAACACCCCAAGCTATCTGGGAACTGAGGGGGAACACCAGAGTAAAAACACAAGGGGGGAAATGCCCTTTTTTAATCGTGTGTCACCCACGACCACTCCATCAGCTCCCTGACGTTACTGGGACAGCCCTTCCCAGGCGTGGAGCCTCTCCCTGTGAGCCCAGGTTCCCTCTGGACTGGAACTAAAGCCAGGCCAGTACCTTGTTTCCCCCCTGGTCCACGTAACGGGCGGTGTTGTTGTAGACCCTCAGCATCGGAACGAGCCCGTTGGAGTTTCCATTTGTCTGCAGAGGCACAGGAGAAACATCAGTGCTGAAAAGAAACTCCCTGGAGAGACAGGCCTGCATTTCCTGCGTGCCTTCCAGCAGTCTGGAAAGCTCTGGCACTGAGAGCCAAGAACTGATCACCCCCAGTTATTTGTAGTCCCTTCACCAAATCTTTTCTTTTAATATAAATAAGCTACTGGTCCCAGAGTTAATAAAATGTCTCTCCTAACTTCTTTCCTCTATTATGTCACTTAAAGGCTTGCAGGGGTTACAAAAAGTGTGACAAAAATCCCCAAACACACATCCACAGATGTTCTGGGGCAGTCAGAGATAGAGAAAGGCAAAGGGCCAATGCACCAGGGAATATTCCTAGGCTGCTAACACTAAGTAAGCTGGAATTGTCTGCTCAAACAGTGGAATAAGATCCTCTTTTTGGAAGGACTTCTATTAGGAAGCCAAAACCCCAAGGGAAACCAACCTTTCTGCCTCAGGGCAAGGGAAGGACCACTGAGTGAGACTCACTGCTGGGCTGAACTGGGTCAGCAGAAGCAGCACCGGTTTGGCAACGCAGAAAAAGCCATTTCCTGAGAGCAAACCCAGCCCAGCCCTGTGGCAGGCCCCTGCAGACTCACCCCAGCTATGTAGCTGCCCGTGGCTCGGATGCAGCTGACGGCCAGGCCGATGCCCCCGGCAGACTTGGAGATGAGGGCACACTGCTTCAGGGTGTCGTAGATGCCCTCGATGCTGTCGTCCTTCATGCACAGCAGGAAGCAGCTGGTGGGAACAGAGGGCTTTAGTGCACAAAGGGGGAAAGGGAAAGTCACGAGAGTTTCACCAGGTTGCAAAAACCAGGGTGAACACGGAACCTTTAACGTGCTCCTCAAGGGAAACCCACGGGGGTGAAGGTGGAGTAAAGGACGGCCTCAGAAAACATCAGGAGTTGTAGCTGCTGCTATCTCTGTTATCAAACATTTTTAATCACAGAATCATGGAATATCCTGAGCTGGAGGGACCCCCAAGGATCACCCAGTCCAAGCCCTGGCCCTGCCCAGGACACCCCACAATCTCCCCTGTCCCTCAGAGCATTGTCCAAACCCTCCCTGAGCTCTGGCAGCCTTGGGGCCGTGCCCACTGCCCTGGGGAGCCTGGTCAGTGCCCACCACCCTCTGGGGGAAGAACCTTGTCCTAACACATTGATATAAAGCATTATAAAATATAAACCTGTATGTTATATCTCTATACTAAAATCCTATTAGTTATGCTTGCTGCCTCTGGCACGTTGCAGCAAACAACTACCAGGATTCATTTCGTAACCTGCAGCAGACCATGCACATCAGGAACTTCTCAATACAACAGAGACATGCAAGGATTTCCCAAAAGTTCACAGAAACCCGTGTATTTTTACCCAAAGACGGGTTAAATTTGACAGCAGCTGCTCAACACTCCCTCAAACACTCACAGACACCCAGCTGGTGATTTCAGGGGCCATGGAAGCAGTCCCCTTGCCCCCCCTGCTCCCTGCCCCTCCCTGTGTGGCAGCCCGGGTACCTGGAGAGCTGGGGGCGGTTGGTGCCGGCGTTGAAGAGCGTGGGGGAGGCGTGTGTGAACCAGCGCTCCGACAGCAGGTTGTAGGTCTCGATGGCAGCGTCGATGTCGTCCTTGTGGATGCCCACGGACACCCGCATCAGCATGTGCTGAGGGCGCTCGGCGACTGCAGGACACACAGTCACACAACGGGCTGGCTGGGTTGGCAGGGACACCAAGGACCATCTCCCTCTACCCCCTGCCATGGGTAGGGACACCTCCCACCAGCGCAGGGTGCTCCAAGCCCCGTCCAGCCTGGCCTTGGACACTTCCAGGGATCCAGGGGCAGCCACAGCTTCTCTGGGCAACCTGGGCCAGGGCGTTACGACCCCCTCAGAAGGGCATGGTAACCCAGGTTGTTATTAATAGATCCCTTGGGGTGGATTAGAGTGAAACAACACTGAGTGGTGTTTGTAAATATATATATATATATGTAGAGATTATTTTAGAACAGTTTGGTTGCAAAGGAAAACAGGTATGGAGCTGCCAGGGGAAAGGTTTTCAGAAGAGTTGCTTGAGGACGGAAAAAACCAGTGTTGGCTCAAGGAAACTTTGCTGCCTTGGAAGCCCAGCCTGGGAAAAGGTTCTTTCCCGGGAATAGCTTTACATGTCTCTCTCTCCCTGCCTGCCAAGGAGGCTGACTCCCTGGGACAAAAGAGAAGGTTTCACAGACATGCCTGGGGCCACTGCTGGGAACAGAGAGACGATGAAATGCAGGGCAGAAAGGCACCTTGATGTCATGTGCATGAGGAAGAGGCTGATAGAAAAACCACCAGAGAACAGAGGAGAACAGGTTCTCCCTTTGTCATCAGATGGCCCAGCGAGGAGTGCTGGGTCTCCTGGGCCCCTGTGGCCACTCTCCTGGTGACAGTGACCCCCTGGAAGCCTGGTTGGAGATGGGGTCTGTGCCAGGCCCCGGCCCACAGGCCATGGAGTCACCTGAGCACGAGCTGCCCTGCAGGGCAGCAGGTTGGTCTGCAGTGGAGCTGTTGGCCAAAGGGCAGCCTGGGGGCCTGCCCACACCATGGCTGGAGCTCCTCACCCAGCCCCTGCCCAGCTGCACCGCCCCTCGCTCCGGCCAGAGGCACTGAGGGGTCAGTGAGCACAAAGTCCTGCCCGGGAGGAGTGGCCACAGATGTCCAGCAGCAAACGGTGTCCACCCTTCCTCTCCTCTCAGGACCTGCCTCGTGGAGATGGTCTGCCATAGCACTCTTCGGTGGCAGGTATGTGATAATCTATTTTTCTCTTATTCTCCTCCCTTCTTCTTTAATCTTTTTCCTCACCCTAATCTTTTTTCTCTCTTCTTCTTTACTCCTTTTTCTTCTCTTAGTCTCTTTATTTCTGTCTTTCAGTCTCTTTTCTTACTTTATATTTAGGGCAACTCAAAGCCAGTGGGTTGGACCCTGCTCAGCTGTGTGTGTGGGTTTGTGCTGGGTCAGCACTTGTGGAATGCTCTACCTTGGCTGTACGTTAGGGTGAACTTTTGGAGCCTGGAATGTATTTTTAAAAGCAACACACCCGGGTGAGCGCGCGGCTCTGGACCAGGGTCTGACAGGTTGAAGTCACGAGAGACTGGATGATTTGATTACTGGGTGGAATCAACCAACTCCATGTCTGGGAGGGCCCAGGTGGGAGGCCCCACCCCTCACTCTGGTCCTAAGTCCTGCCCTGGAGGTGTGGCCACAGCACCCCGAGCACATAAATAGAGGAGCGCGCGGTCCTCTCTCTCCCCTCTCCGGAGCCCGTTGCCGCCGCATGGAGCCAGACTTCCAGAGCATTCCTTGGTGGTGAGTCACGTGGGGTTGGTGTTCAATGGGTGCTTTAGTGGAACGCTTCTCCTCGGTTGTATGTTACCCCCATGAACCTTTGGCCAAGACACAAACCTTCCCCCCGAGTTTTGGGAAAGCATGTCGGCACTTCCTCTTCGTAACTTCAAGGTATTCAACACTCGCAGTAAAGCCCGAGGCTTGGGGATTGGGGTGTTGGAGAAGTTAGGTGGGAACTCTGCGTACGTGGGAGTTCTCCCGCTCGGGCTGCCGAGATTCCGCCTCGTGTCTCCGAACGGCGCGCGCGGTTCCCGCCAGACGCCGTGTCCTTCCTGGTGCCACACCAAAGGGACTTTGGCCCGGCACGGCTCCAGGGGTGACTGAGCCGCCCTGCCCTGGGGCGGTGCCCGCTGGCTGGGCGGTGTGATGTCTCCAGAGGACAAGGACATTCCCCTCCTCACGGCGTTACATCTCCACTCCTTTCCCTGTGTGCCTTGCCGAGTGCCCCTGCACGTTATTACGCCCTGCATTTCCATTCCCGGTGGGAATGCTTCCTTGAGCGCAATGTCAGGGGCAAAGGGCATCGGGAGAGTTGCCTGAGGAGAGAAAAAATAGCCTTTGCTCAAGGAAATGTGCTGCCCTGGAAGCCCAGCCTGGGAGAAGGTTCTTCTCCATGACCAGTTCCTGTGTGTCTCTGAAGTGAGACAACGTGCAGGGACCTGTAGGGTGAGAGACCAGTTTAAGGCCATGGTGACCATCCTGATTGGTTACAGGAAACACCTCAGCACCCAGAGGGGGCATTCCCAGGAATCCATTGTCAGATGATCGTGGGTGCCACAGAAAGGGACAAAGAGACCCCAATGGCTTCCCGAAAGTCCTCAACAAAATGGGGAGACTTCCCAGCAAGAGACTGATAGGAAGCACGAAAATAACACTTAAGGAAATGTGTAAGGACAAGCAAGAGGAAGAAAGGACAAAAGCAGAAAGATACAGTCAGTACCCATTGGATCCAGCGAGGAGACGGGGCAGTTGCAGCTTCAATGCCTGCTGGTTGAAGTGGTGGTCGTGGTCCTGTCACAGTGATGGTCTTGATCCACGGGGGGAGTCCAGCCAACTCAGAGCTTTCATGAGTTATATCACCCAGGTTCAGGTGGGAACACCTGGTACCTCCTCTGGGGTGGGGAGTTTTACAACGGGTGATGTCAGGGACATGTCAAGAGCCTTTGACTGAAGGTGCTCCTCAGAGGGGTTCTCACAGCTGAGCCATCAGGACATTGGCCTGATAAGGACCATCCCACCTTCCAGGATTTGCCTCTTACCAGCCTCTTCCCTCACCTTGAAATCCAGTTTGTAGCTTCAGGTGTGCACAGCCTTTTGCACTGGGATAGCTGGACAACAGCACCCTCATCTCACCTCCAGGTCCTTTCCCAACCCGAATTAGGAGCCATGTTCAGTGAGGGGTGGCCTGGGTAGATGAGCAGCTGTTTCTTTGCAGTTTGCTACAGTGGACAAGCCTTTTGCTGATGTTAACAATGTTTAAGCCATTAACCATTTCAGTCTCTGACACAGGGCCTCTGTCAGGATCCAGTTATTAAAAGATGCCTCTGTTTAAATATAAGTGCAAATGAGACCCCAAAGTCAATAGTGCGGTTTTATTTAACTGTAAATATGAGAGAGAGAGAAAGAGAGAGAAGGTCTTCTCAGTGCTGAGGGTCCCAAAGTCATGCTCCTGGGGCACCACTTGTATGCAGTCCAAGTCCTGGATATTCACAGGGAGTCTCAGATGTTCCCACAGCTTGGGATGGCATGGGAGAGAGCAGTTGTTTTCCTTCCCCACAGCTTGCACAGTGGAACTTTGTTGGTGTGCTGATTTCAAACCTTCACCTTCGTTTAGGTCTGTAATTAACACTTTCCTTTCTCACAGTTTTCCACAGTGGGAATTTTAATTTGAGTAGGTTACCCACGTTTGTCTTACCAGGCCTGGTTCCTGTTGTTGCCAGTCTGTGCTTATCACAAATTCCAGTGCTGTGAGGAGAGGCTGAGGGAGCTGGGGGGGCTCAGCCTGGAGAAGAGGAGGCTCAGGGGAGACCTCCTCACTCTGCAACTCCCTGACAGGAGGGGGGAGCCGGGGGGGGTTGGTCTCTTCTCCCAGGGAACCATCAGCAAGACAAGAGGGCTGGGTCTGCAGCTGTGCCAGGGGAGGGTTAGGTTGGATATCAGGAAGAATTTCTTTGCAGAGAGGGTGCTCAGCCATTGGAATGGGCTGCCCAGGGAAATGGTGGATTCTCCATCCCTGGAGGTGTTTTAAGGACAGACTGGATGTGGCATCAGTGCCATGGGCTGGGAACCACGGCGGGGTTGGATCAAGGGTTGGACTTGATGATCTCGGAGGTCTCTTCCAACCCGTCTGATTCTGTGATTCTCTGATCTTGGTGCCTCCTCGGGACTCTTTCCAGCAGCTCCACATCCTTCTGATGGTGGGGACCACAGAGCTGGAGGCAGCTCTGCAGGTGGGTCTCACCTGAGGGGGCAGAGGGGCAGAATCCCCCCTCCCATGCTGTGGGATCAGCCCAGCACACTGGAATTTTGGGGTCCCAGCACACATGGCCGGGTCCTGTCCAGCCTCTCACGCCCCAACTACAGCCAGGAAGCCGGGGAGGAAGAAGGCTCAGTGTGACAGTCACTGCCAGCACAGACACACAGAGCATGGCAACAAGGTACAAACAACAGCAGCCACACTTCTCATGGAATCACAGAGTAATTCCAGTTGGAAGGAACTTGAGATCTCCAGCCCAACTCCTGGCCAAAGAAGAGCCAGCTAAGAGCACCAGGTCTGTTTATTCAGGACTTTACCCAGTCAGGCTCTGAAAAACCCAAGAACAACCTGCTCCAATGCCCAGCTGCTCTCACAGAGGAGGAAAAAACTCACTCGGATTAACAATTACAATCCAATCAAGTATCCAATTATCTTTCATCTCTATGATATTACAGTTAACTTCTGACCCTTCTGGTGTCCAAGGATTTCCAAGCCAAAGGCCTGCAATAACCATCCCTGGCAGCACATAATTTAATTAAGTTGACTCAAATGAAGAAGTGCTTAGCACGAGGAACAGCTCTTACCTTTGGAGTTGATTTTCAGCAAGTAGGAGCGTTCGAGAGTCTTTAAAAAGAGAGGATGGATTTTAGCAGGCAGGCAGATTGGAATGTTTAAATAAAATCCTGTTAAATCCCAACTCCAGCAACTCCACACTCCTCATCCCAGGCCTCACTAGCCCTGCACTCTGCCCCTCCTCTCCTTAATAGCTTAATCAGGCAATTAATGACTGAAACCCCACAAGCCCACTGGAAGATTGCAACACAGAGGGCTCTGCTTTGGATTATGGAGTGTGGAGCATGGCCACGAAGTTCCACACTGCCCCTCCAGCCACAGGACCTCTCTGCAGTACCCAGAGCTATGGAAGAGTGGAACACTCCAGCCAACCCTCCAGAGAGCCAAACCCACCATAATTCCCCAAAACAATCCAACACAGCGGGGTGTGAGGGGAGCAGGAGGGGGGCTCAGCACACTGGGCTGGTGTGGGGGAGATGTTCCAGCAGCACAGGAGAGGATAAATGAGTGGGATGACACACTGAGAGCAACTGCTCCATAAAACAACAGGGAAAGCAAAAATCCCTGTTTTGGTTTATTAAGGATCAGATTATTTCCCTGAGGAATGGCATTCAACAACATTCAGTGTGATTGCTGTGAAACAGAGCCCAACAGCTACAAGGCCTTCCAGCAGCAAGGAAAACTCCACAGTTTATCCCACTGGGAGCTGCTTCGTCTGGGTTTTCACTCTTTGTCCTTCATAACCCCAGTGATGTCCCACCTCCTCCAGTGCCCCCCTTGCCCCATCCCAGACAAATCCATGAGCATTCCCAACAGAGTCTGAGCAATGTGCTCTTTACCTTAAAGCCAAAGTAGTTGTAGGAGAAGTCTCTGTCATAGATGATGGCGGAGTTGAGGCGCTGCCAGGGAACAACAGACAGAACTGACAGTCACAATCAGCCCTTGGGGCCTCACTGAGGTGGAACAATGCTGTCCCAAAACCTGAACCCAAACCTCTGTCCCCTCTGTGCTGCCTCACTTTGCTCCAGCAGAGGGTACTTCATGTCTAATCACTTGTGCTGATCGTGGCACTGGGGACACCCAAGGAAATAGATTCTAGTACAGAAACATCCTTATGGGAATGACCCTCCAGTCATTCCCTGCACTGGTTTCTGCATGGCCTTTTTGCCCTAGAACAAACATGGCTTGCTTAAAAAATTGAATTCTGAAAACTTATAAGTGGAGAAAAACAGCTGCTTACATCTTTGTTGGCCAGAACTATGTCCAGAGTTTCTTTGGAGATCATTGGGGAGTGCTTCCCATTGTGAGGGTTGATGTAGTTGTAGAGATCCTCCATCACATCTGCAAAGAAAAGGGAAGTGAAAAGGACATCCCCAGGCCTGCACCTGCACCACCTGGCACTGGGACTAGGGATGGAAGATGCAGGAATGTCCACCCTCTAAAACAACTCCCTCCGGCCCCACAGCCACACCACTGCTGTACCTGCTCAGCACGAGGCTGTTCCCCTG